AGTCTTCATGCTGGGGAAACCCCTCTACATTAAAAGGGAGGATGAAAGTGGCTCCTTTGTGCTTGCTTTCTCTAGCATGGAGACTGAAATTCCTTTTTACAGTGAAATGTTAAAGGAGGGAAGCACCCAATCTAGAGAAAAGTTCTTATTTTCCCCCTTTTTCTTCCAGATTAAGCCTATCCCACAGGTTGTTTTCAGCAAAGAAGTACATACATAAAGCTGGCAGACCTCTAGAGACCTGCTGCACCCATCAAAGGGAGGAGGGAAGCACCTTCTGGAGGTGTCACCTCCTGATCCCCCTCCCCACACGTGGGGAACACAGGGCGGGCTCAGGGCAGCACCAGGAGGAATGGAAAAGGGAATTCACTCCTGCCAGAGCTGACTTCTGACCCTGGCTTTGAAGAGCAAATTTGGGAAGGCAGTAGGTGACAGCTTGCTCTGTTCCCCATCAGCAGGCACAGCTCAGGAGAGCTTTGTCCTGCTGCAAATTACTTGGGTGAAAGAAGATGGGAGTAGACAAGACCCTCCCTGTTCTTTGGAAAAGAGAGAGCTCAGCAGCTCACCAGTTTTCATCTTTCAAGAGGCTCTTCAAAGGTTTCTTCACAAAGAACCCAAACTTTTAGATCTCATTTGCTTCCCTGGCAGTCCTGTAATATGACGGGTTGGCTAAACTGGCCCTGGATTAAAAGACATTAAGACAAGAAAATGCCACAGAAATCCTTGGAGCCCAAAGGATGCTCCAGGAACTTCCCTCCCAGGGTATGTTACGGAGCAGAAGTAGGAGGCTGGAGCAGTGGAGGACAGAAGCAAAAAAGATGAGGTAGAGGGAGGGAAACACATGAAGGATTTTCCCAGCCCAGCTGACCACAAAACCAGCAAAACCTTGCTCCTCCATGCAGTGCACTGCAACATTCAGGTGGGTAAACTGGCACCTCACAGAAGGGGAAACTGAGACACAAAGGAGCTCTGACATGTCACAGTAAGTAAGGAAAAAAAAAAAAAAAAAAAAAAAAAAAAAAAAAAAAAAAAAAAAAAAAAAAAAAAAAAAAAAAAAAGAGAAGCCCATGCCAGGGTTACACTGCAATTAATGATGCTCCAGTTCTTGTGCTGGCAGTCCCCTGAACAACATCCATGGTCTCTCTCAATTAAACTAGATTATGGAACGATCCTTGCTAATTATATATTATTATCTAGCAAGCAGTTATCTTGCTATAAAGGTTTCTCCTTTAATGGACAAACACTGTTCCTCTAGCACAGCCAGCCCCAATGGCAAGAAAAAAATCAAAAGCCAAAATAATTTCTGCTGTGGCCAATATTTTGCCTGAGCTGGAATGTTCACATTGCAAACACTGCATCCTGTCCTAGAGAGAGGGAAGAGGAGGGGGAG